GGTAATTCTTGTATCATCAATTGGCGCCGTCTGTGGGACCGACGACTTAGGAAGAGGATTCATGGCGATACGGAAGAGAGGTGAAACCAGTCGAGGGACTCGGCGTTTCACGACATGATCAACCCCAAGAAAGCCAATCAAACTCTAAGGCTAACCCTAGCCAAGGCCAAAGTTTACAAGGTTCGAAAGCCTCAGAGACAGAGGCCGAACGACTGTAGAGGGTCGAAGAAGAACTTCTTGAACTGAAGACCCTGATGAAGGGTAAGATGGAAAAAGAAGCATCCCTAGGTCAAAAGAATTGAGAAACCAGCCATGACGAAGGTTCTAAACCCCCCAACAATGAAACCAAGGTCAGATCCAAAAGAGACCTCGGGAGAGGAAATTTCACACATGAGGATGGCAACCATAAGCAAAAGCTTGAGGAGATGAATGAAAGGCTCGGCGTGGTGTGGAAAGAAGTCAGAAAGCCGACGTCGGATATTTTTTCGCCCACCGAGTCCCCTTTTATTGACAGCATCATGAAAGAAGAAATCGCTTCTAGCTTCAAAAATTAGTCCTCGGATTATCGAGGTCTCCAAAGATGCTCCTCAGCCTACCGAGGTGTTCAAAAAATTAGTCCTCGGGTTATCGAGGTCTACAAAGAAGATCCTCGGCCTACCGAGGTGTTCAAAAAATGAGTCCTCGAACTACCGGGGTCTCCAAAAAAGCTCTTCGGCCTATCGAGGTGTCCAAAAAATTAGTCCTTGGATTACCGATGTCTCCAAAGATGCTCATCGGCCTACCGAGGTGTTCAAAAAATTAGTCCTCGGACTACCGAGATCTACAAAGAAGCTTCTCGTCCTACCGAGGTGTTCAAAAAATTAGTACTCGGATTACCGAGGTCTCCAAAAAAGATCCCCGACCTACCGACGTGTCCAAAAAATTAGACCTCGGACTACCGGGGTCTATAAAGAAGCTTCTCGGCCTACCGAGGTGGCAAAAAAATTAGTCCTCGGACTACCGAGGTCTACAAAGAAGCTCTTCGGCCTACCGAGGTGCCCAAAGAAATAGTCCTCGGACTACCGAGGTCTACAAAGAAGATCCTCGGCCTACCGATGTGTTCAAAAAATGAGTCCTCAGACTATCGGGGTCTCCAAAGAAGCTCCCCGGCCTACCGAGATATCCAAAAAAGTAGTTCTCGGACTACCAAGGTCTACAAAGAAGATCCTCGACCTATCGAGGTGTTCAAAAAATGAGTCCTCGGACTACCGGAGTCCCCAAACAAGCTCATCGGCCTACCGAGGTGTCCAAAAAATTAGTCCTCGGATTACCGAGGTCTCCAAAGATGCTCCTCAGCCTACCGAGGTGTTCAAAAAATTAGTCCTCGGGTTACCGAGGTCTACAAAGAAGTTCCTCGGCCTACCGAGGTGTTCAAAAAATTAGTCCTCGGATTACCGAGGTCTACAAAGAAGTTCCTCGGCCTACCGAGGTGTTCAAAAAATTAGTCCTCAGA